AAAAAAAAAAACTGTAACGGCTGCAGGGATAAATCTGAATGGCATACATATTGTACATGTAGAAATTTGTGGTGTTCACTTTTTATCAGAACTAAATCCGGATTCTGGGGCTGGAGGACAGATAAAGCAGAAGTTGTTAATGGTTACGAAGCAAAGGTAAAAGGAAACTCTTAAAATAAGATTTACTATAGCTATTTAGCTTCTATGCAAACGAGGAGTCTGTTCAGATTTTTTCATGCACCTGTGCCATGAAGATGCTCTGGGGGAATACGTATTGTCTAATGTGTCTCTCACTTGAATTTTTATCTTATTGGACTTTCAGAAATGTGATGGCATGTCCTGAGGAGGTCTCTAGTTATGCCAAAGAAAAACAGTATTGTAGAGAAAAGAGTATAGGTACCAGTTGTCCTGGTAGGAATGACAAGCTAATGATTCATTTAATTCTTAAAAAAAAGAAAAGAGAGAGAAAAAGAACTAGACTTAGCATACTTGTCCATCGGTTTTTATCACCTGAGTGATTTTTAAAAATATCCTAACGTAGCTTTTATGTCTCTGATGGTAGCCAGTAGGCTTATAGCCCATTTACATGACATCAGGGAATTTAGAAAATGGTTTTTAATAGTGGAGACGACAGTCATTTGAGTCATCTGGCATTTTGTCAGCTGGGAAGCTCTGTGTCTTGGCCTTTCCTTAGCCAGCAGTGCAGAGGGGCTGGTGGCCCTCTTGTGGCCTCTGAGTGAGCACTTAGAAAGCTTACACCATGCTCAGCAAGACACATTTAGAAGCAGATATACTTGTGCTGAGTGTGTTTTCTGAATCTCTCACGTCAAGAATCCACAAATGGCATAGAGAGTGAGTTCCCTGTTAACCACTGTGTTGGCTTCCCAGACCACCATGTTCACCAGTCAACCTGGGTAACAGCACATTTACTCTGGCAGTTAAAATAAAAAAAAAAAATTTTGGTCACTATACAGAATTCCTTTTAAATAGTGATTTGCTGGTTTTCTGTAAACCTTTCAGGTGTGGAAAACCTTGTATTCCTTCCTTTTTCCTTCTCTCCAGCAGATGGCTGTTTAAGTCCGTATAAGATTACCACCAATCAGTAGAAGTACATGATGCAGGTTTGGGAACCTTAGGACAACAGAAACCCATTGGGAAACCTAAATTGCAGGACATTGGTTTGAGATTGTTCAGCAGCGAGGAGGGCGAGTAGGAAGATGCAGCCTGACGCTGTTAACTCCTCAGTTATTTAAAACTGTCAAATGTGGAAAGTAACTGCTGATGCATTTCTTAGCTGATAATTTGCATATTTTCTCTGAAGAATCCTAATGATTGTTAACCATTTCTCATTTTTATTTTGTGGATTATTATTTTATTTTTGCTTCAGCATTTTTGCTCTTGCTATGCTTATTTTTTGAGTTTTGATTCCCTGTGTCACTGTTTTCTTTTGCACACATCTCTCAAGGTTTACACAGTAAATAATGTGAGTGTGATAACTAAAATACGGACAGAACATCTGACCGAGGAAGAAAAAAAGAGATATAAAGGTAATGCTCCCTCCTTCTTTTAGCCTGGAGAGGGCCTTCATTGGCTCTGTTTTGGGTTACTGTGATCAGGAAGCACTAATCCTAACCCTAACTTCCTTTTTATAAAAATTTCCTTAGTTTGACTCATTTTTGAAGGTGTTTCCCCATAGTTGGCTTCTGCTGTAATTAAAGCCATTCACGAAGGCTTGTTTATGTTTTATGAAGAACAATTGTTGGATTTGGCCGAAAAAGTAGATAGGGAAATTGGAGAATGTTTACCATTGGAATGAGTGACTTAGTCCAAAATATCATGATGAAAGATTTGAACAGAACTTGGGGCTGTAAGTCAAAACGCTGCCATATCCCAGCTCCGCCAATGGCTTGGTGAAGTTAACTACCCTCAGTTTCCTTAGCAGTGGACTGGAGGTGATATTAGACCTTCCTTAGAGTTGTCGGGAGTATTAGATGCATTACTCCCTGTAAACCTCTCCAATAGAGAGGTCGGCATGCAGTGATTGGTAGCTACCACCAGTACCACTACTATTACCATTACTCCAGTTTGACAGATGAGGAAACCAAGGTCTCAGTATCTGTCATTGGACACACTGAGAGTGAATAGTCAAGGTGGGACTGGAATCAGATATGGCTGCCTCCTAAATCCACACTCTTTCCACTATTCTGCTTTAATTCTCCTATCTGTTGTCCATCTAGTTTAGAAGTCCTAATAAAAAGTGTCCTATGAAGGATGAATTAGCTTATGGTTGTTTGTGGATGATCTTAGCCTGTTCACAAGCGAAGAACTTTACTTCAGCATTGCCTAATGCAGATTCCTGGGATCAAAAACTTTAAAATATGCTGAGCATCTTTTTCTATAGCCACAATAAGGTATACTATTAGAAACTGACCTTTTTTCCCCCTCTGTAGCGGACAGGAATCCATTGGAATCTCTGCTGGGGACTGTGGAACACCAGTTTGGTGCTCAAGGGGTAAGTTTAAGCCACAGGCTTTCAGCAGTCTTATGAAAGGAAAGGACTTATTTGTGCTTGTGATAGCATTTATTGAATCACGTGCAGGCCATTCTATTTGAAAAGGTTAAAGAGTACTCCTAAGCTAGAATTTGAGATACTCTTTTGGAAGGGAATTAGGCAAGTCTTTAAAAATAAACATTTCAGAGGAGGGGTGGTGATTATGGAAATCAGATGCTTCCTCTCTTATTCATTATAAACTAGGGCTTCTCTATAACAATGGAACTTAAAAAGTATGTTGTTGTTGTTTGCCATTGAGTTGATTCTGACTCACGGTGACCCCACGTGTGCAGAATAGAACTGCTCCATAGAGTTTTCAAGGCTGTGAACTTTCAGAAGCAGGTCTTCAGGATTAAGAAGTATACCAAACCAAACCAAACCTGTTCCCATCAAGTCAATTCTGACTCATAGCGACCCTACAGGACAAAGTAGAACTTCCCCATAGGGTTTCCAAGGAGCGGCTGGTGGATTCGAACTGCCAACCTTTTGGTTAGCAGCCGAGCTCTTAACCACTGCACCACCAGGGCTCCGAGAAATATACAGGACTTTATATTTTACAGAGCACTTTAACAAACATTATCTTACTTGATCCTCACACTAACTATATGAAATTGGTACACTGGAATTCACCGAGGGTCAGAGAAATGAAATTACCGTTCCAGTGTCACAAGCTTGAGAATGACAGAGCTGGAACTTAAGCCCCAAATCTTATGTACTTTCAAATATTTCTGCCTTTTTTTCTTTTCTTTTCTATAATCAGGATGCAAAGAAGAGTGCAGAAATATTTAGTTCCTAATTTTAAAAGGGAGAAATCCATTAGACTTGCCATGGAATTTGGTAACACCATTGTAGATTTTCTTGTGCAATGCAGTAACTTAATAAAGTTAATGACTAGAACTTCCTGACCTGTAGCTGGCTCACAAGTCCACCTCAGAGACTGAGTGCCACAGGCCCTCACTTGGGAGCATACTTTGGCATTTCTAATTTCTCTGGGTTTTGGCTTGGCAGGACCTCACCACAGAATGTGCCACTGCAAACAACCCCACAGCCATCACGCCTGAGGAGTACTTCAGTGAAGAGTTTGATCTGAAAGATAGGGACATTGGAAGGCCTAAAGAGCTGACGATTAGAACACAAAAGTAAGAGATTCTGTGGCTGGAAGTTGTGCTGTTTAATTGTCATGTTCAGTTATTCCTTGCCCCCTTCCTTTAAGAACAAATTTTAAACCACTTTATCTGAAGGAAGCTAACAGTAGATTGCCCACCTTAGGAGCCCTTTCCAGACAGTACATAGTTTGAATGTTAAGAATTCCTTCTTTTACTGCCAACAAGCTTCCACTGATCAAATGAAATGGTTTCCACTGGCCATCTTATTTCTTCATACTTCCTGACATTTAAGTCGGTTACAGTGGGTGGCAGTAATCAGGCCATTTCCTCTGATTGTCAGATTTTATAGTGATCTGAATTCCTATAGTTCTCAACCCTTCATAGAATTCAGAGATAACTGGAAAGACTGTGGAGTCAGGAGGCTAGTGGTGACTGTTGTTGTTGCTGGGTGCTATCAAGTCGATTCTGATTCATAGAGACCCCATGTGACAGAGCAGAACTGCCCCATAGGATTTCCTAGGCTGTAATTGTTATGGGAGCAGATTGCCAGGTCTTTCTACCGCAGAGCTGCTGGGTGGATTCAAACCGATGACCTTTCAGTTGCAGCCAAGTGCTCAACCGCTGCACTACCAGGGCTCCTGGTGGCGACTAGCCTACTGCATATAGTAGTCTGCTTTCCCCGTCTGGTAGAGATGGTCTTCATCTTTTCTCTGCTAAATCCTGCAGGTTTAAAGCAACGCTGTGGATGTGTGAAGAGTTTCCTCTGTCTCTCGAGGAGCAGGTCATTCCCATCATTGACCTGATGGCCAGAACAAGCGCTCATTTTGCAAGACTGAGAGATTTCATCAAGCTGGAATTCCCACCGGGATTTCCTGTCAAAATAGGTACCGTTAAATGAACCACAGGAACACTTGTAGGTTCTGCTCATTATTGTGGGTGATAGAATATGCTTCAGGGAATTGCAGCACTTGAGACACAGAGTAATATATAATAGACAAGGAGGAGGAGGTCAGAATTATTCTGCAGTCTGATGTAAAGAAGTGTCATGATTCTTGGTTCAGGTTGGGGATTTGCATATCAAAATTAGGAAACACCAACCATCAGTTCTATTTATAGGCAGTCCTGATAGATGTAAAAAGGCATAAAAATATGATATATTCATTGTTTTAATGTCAAACCTTATTTAAGTCAAACTTCAAATTAGATAGTTATTTGAGGCAGATAGTTGACAGCAAGATCCTCTGATACATAAATGTTTTCAGGCCCGGACTAGTATGCATAATACCATGTATAACAGATAATACTCACGAGGAATTTTCATTTTGGATTGTTGTAGACTCATGAAACTTGAACCCTGGCTCATTATTTACT